AATTAAAATAATTAAATATAATGTCTGACCAGCCCTCCTGCAGTACCTTTAGGGCCCACCAGGGGGTGGCAAGCCACACTTTGGGACTCACTGAGCTGCACTGAATAAAGATGCTTCATCATTTAAATCCCATAAATCTCCTGATCCTGATGATTAAGGGAACAAATAAGTGTTCCTGAGCTTGAACGTGTAGGTTCGACCTCCTGAGTCCATCCAGCACATGCTGGTCACAGCTGTCTGTGCGTTACCTGTCGCAGGTAGAGGAAGAAGCTGGAGTACTGCCCGGCTTCAGGCAGGTAGGACAGGAACACGGTGACGCAGATCAGCAGCACCGTGGTGTCTTTCCCCACCCGACGCAGAGACTGAACACACCAAAAACACAAATATCGATCAATCGATCTATCAGTCAGCGTGGAGCGCGTCAAAGCTGTGACAGCGACGAAAAGACTCACGGCGAAGGGGTCGGCCTGCTCCCAGGAGATGGGGAACCCCCACGACGTCAGCCTCATCTTGTCCGGCAGCGACTCGGGGACGACGAAGAACACGAACGCAATATCTGCCACAGCAATCACCGTGGCAACAAGGACCACCAGGCTGTCTCCGTACTGCGCAGACAGGTAGGCCCCGATGGCCGGACTCGTCACCAGGCTGGCCGCGAAGGTCGCCGAGACCTGGCGAGGGAGGGGAGGTAAAGTCAGCACGTAACCCACCTTTGACCGAACCCTCAGGCGCAGGGGTTCAAACTTGAAACGTCAGAATTTTAAAACAAACCTGAAAATGTTTCAGTTTATGAAAATAAAATTCGGAATTAAAAACTTGTTTTCAAATTTTTACTGAATTTTGAATCACATCTGTGACTATAATTAATCTGAGTCATCGTGACCTTTAACATTCAATAAAAATAGTTCTACGACTCAACCATCCTAAAATATTTGTAAGTGAAATGTATGACATGGATGTTTTGTTTAGTGTGTGTGTGTGTGTGTGTGTGTGTGTGTGTGTGTGTGTGTGTGTGTGTGTGTGTGTGTGTGTGT